TTTTTTTTTTGTATATATTATTGCTGATCACCAGGATGTATGGGATGAGAGGATGGGAGGAGGGAGGGGAAGATAGAGCACAAGGTAGGGTGCTGGGGGGTGAGTGGAGGGCAGGCAATATACAAGAAGGGTGAGGGGAATGGTAGAACAAGGCTGATGGGAGAACAGTTAGGCAAATTCACATTGGCTAAGTGGGACAGAGGTAAATGATGTATGCACAACCCTGGAACAACAGGACTTCGGAATACAGGGATTGAGGCATGGTTTGAAGGAGTAAAAGAGAGGAATAATGTCTTTTGAATCTTGGTTTCCCTTGCCTACCACTGTGAAATAGACATGTGGGGAAGTGGGGGGGAAGGAATAGCCAGAAACATCACAATAGAAAGCTAGTAAGTCCGTCTTCAGCCTATAACTGATTGGAATACCTTAAAGGGGACTAGTTGTTGCCCAGTGAAAGAGGCCTCCTGTGAAGCTTTTGCATTGCATAAGACCATATGTGGAAACCAGAATCCTATCCAGAAATGTGTGAGGTGGGAAATTTCCATTGGAAAGGACGAGCAGACCAGCAGCCTGGAGCAGCTAGAAGAACAGAAGATACTTTGTGAAGAAAGACCAGCAGGAAACGTCCGAAACAATAACGGCAGTCTGATTGATTAAGTGGTCGGGTCCCCTCAGAGCAAACCCCCTTCCAAGACTAAGACTCAAAGTGAATAAATGAGCAGGCATGTGGTCTGGCTGGTGACCATGTTGGTCACCGATAAGGGGAAAGGGGAAAAATACAGCAATGAAGTTGGGATCTAAGTCCAACCACATTCAACAGACGCCTGTGAACATGGATGGAGACCTGGATGGCCAGCAGTACGGAAAGACCGGGGACTCCTGGGCCCAGAGGCGGTGACATGGCCACAGAGGGCTAGAGGGGACAGTGAAGCGTCCAGCTGATATGGAGTGAGGGGAGATGCACAAGAACACCCATACTTGCAGATAGTACCCACTTGACCTGGCTTTGATGGCTGGATGATCAGAACTCAACTAGAAGAAGAAAGATGGAAGAAGAAAAAAAGGGGAGTAACCCACTACAATTTGATGAACTTTACCTATACTTATGGATGTAGTGGCTCAAAAAAAGGTACAAATCTTTACAGTGAGGATCACTCCCAGCCCCTCGGCACACAGAGTTGACAAAGCTTGGCAACTTAGACATTGGCTACTCAAAATGGGAGGAAGGGCTATAAAGGCAAGAAGTGACTGGCTTACAAGCTTTCAAGAGGGAGCCTAGTTCCAGATGGGGCAGGGATAGGTAAAACCTCCACTGAATGATTCCCAATCTGTTGGGACTGGGCTGGCAAAAGGAAATGGGAATAAGACTCTTGTGGTACAATAGTGAATAATTGCCATCAGGACTGACTGTGAGGATCAGAAATGTAGAGGTAGATGTTTTTTGACAAAAGGAGGGGAGTGATTGATTTTGCAGCCCAAGAGCAGCAGTTCCTAGGACAATCAAGTGTGAAGAGCGGCAGTGATGCCAGTAATGCCAGGGATAGAGACAGAGATGATGATGTGGACAAATGGAGTGGCTCCGGACACTTGACTCAGGGAGGGAGAGGGGCTGTGTGCTGAAGGCCGGGGACAGGCCTGTGGGGTGTACCCTTTGGTTATTTGATAATGCATGGAGGGGATTATAATCGTTGCAATGAAATGAAACACGATAGGATGAATGTAAAACTGATGTTCTCCCATGTAAACCCACATAATTCATAATAAAAACTTAAA